CAGCCCAGTCCTGCACGCGGTACAGGGGCAGGTAAAGTAGCTGCTTTGTCTTTCCTCCTGTTTCCCAAGTCCCTGGTCAAGGCTGATGTTGGGATCACCACGATCCCCACCACTTCCACGTGTGAGATGCAGCCGGTATTTCAGCGCTGGCAAACTATCCCCAGTACCAGCAGCAGCCAAACAGACCCGCCCACCAGGGATTTTCTCCCCGATTTCCCTGTGTCCCCGCAGCAGCGATCTTGAGTGTGTGTTCATCTTCTGACTCCTCCTCCCAGGTAGCTAGGTCTTCTACCACTCCCCACACCCAGTCTCCAAAGCATTCGTCATGGCTGGCCACACAGCACACTCCATAGACATGGAAACTGAAGGACATGAGAGGCAAAGCAATAAGGCATCTAACTGTGAAACTGGTTGGTAGATATTAAAAGTGGACACTGACACACAGGTAGGCATTATATAGTTGACACATGGTGTGCATTGTGACTGTGCACTACAGAAGGCAAGAGAAACTTCCAAGGGTTCAGTGAGAGGGCTGGGTATACACAATGCAAACCCTGGGGATTTCGGATTCCGCACCAGTTGGACTCACCACCCACCCAGGTAAGATCAGCATCACAAGGCACCAAAAATTATCAGCCGACAGAACAGGTGGAGAAAACACATCCAGGATCTAAATGCAGAAAAACGCTAAGCGCCACTGAGTGGTAAAACACGACCTGGCACGCACTGGCCAGCGATCAGGCTCTGTGATAGGAAAGAGGTCAGTTCCTCCACTAGTAACAGATTGCTTAGTAGTACTGTGCCAATTAAGGCCACAGTAGAATTATGTGCGGGGGGGGGGGGGGGAGGGGCTGGTTAAAGGTATTTTGAAGTTCATTTGGAAAACATAAGCAGCATTAGCCAAGGAAAATCAGAGAGCAGAAGAGAAGCAGAGACACAGAGCACCCAGAGTTGCAGGACTGGATGCAAACTGAGTCTTCCGTCTCAGACGGCGAGGGTGTCCGCAGGGTGCCCAGCGCAGATCTGGGAAGCCTTGAACCAGGACCACGGGCCCAGAACCAGTGTGACTAAATGACAGAGTTGTACAAAAAAGGAGCTGTACAGAACTAACAGAGAAAGAAGACTGAGCAAAGAAAGAGGGAACTAGTCACTTCTTTGAAGAAAAATTTAATTAGATTTCTTGTCATGCAGAGCAGACTCAGATGAAGGTGGACTAAGGATTATATATACACATTTACATATGTAACAATCAAAGCCAAAAAGTAAAAGAAACTGATAAAACTATAAGGAATACACATTCGGGGCCAGCGCTGTGGCACTGCGGGGTAACGCGGCCTGCGGTGCCGGCCTCCCCCGTGGGTGCTGGGTGGGGTCTCCACTGCTGTGCTTCTGGTCCAGCTCCCTGCAGGTGGCCTGGGAAAGCAGCAGAGGAAGGTGCAAGAGCTTAGGCCCCTGCACCCGCGTCAGGGATCCAGAGGAGGCTCCTGGCTCCTGGCTTCAGCCTAGCCCAGCCCTGGCTACTGTGGTCATTTGGGGAGTGAACCAGCGGATGGAGGATCTCTCTCCCTCTCTCTCTCTCCTTCTCTTTCTCTATAACTTTGCCTTTCAAATAAATACATAAATCTTAAAAAAAAAAAAAGGAAGTATACTATATTCATGGATTGTGATTTGCCTTCAAAATTATATCAGATGGCTTAGAGTAGAAACCATGGAAATAAGAGACTGAGGATTTGATTATGTATAAAAAGGAGGGAATCTCTATTTGTAAATAAGAACACACAATAAAAAAAGAAGAGCAAATCACAGACTGAGGAGGCATCTGTTCCCACACACAATAAACTGTCCAAATCCTAAATCCACACTGACCAGCACCTGGTGAAAACAGGCAAAGCTGTGTCTGTCTCTACAGTCTGGGCGGGAGAAGCCCGTGGGGCCGGCAGGCGGGCGCTCGGCCTCACTGCTCACGGCAGCGCACACACAAAGCAGGCGGATTTCTTCTGCTCGTCACCCTAGCACAGACGGTGAAAACCACGCTTCCGCGCCAGCCTGTGCGTGCCATGAGACGGGCACCGTCCCGCGCACTGAAAGGCTGTTTTACACAGGACCTCCTGAGAGGTTCACTTGGAAACACGAGGATGTCTCAAGAACCTTGCAAACGGCCACACACGATGACCGAGTCGGCACACTTACTAGACATTCAGCAAGCATTCCACACGCAGATTTACACGCGTGTCTCAGGCCCACGGGAAGGCACGGAACATGCTTACACCGAGCGGAGCGCGTGCGTTAGCCTGGAATCCGCACGCAGAATCCGCACGAGCTGAGCAGGAAAAATAGGGAGAAGCAGCTTAGGAGAAGTCTGGGTAAACAGCTCTGCAATAACCGATGCCTACTTCTGGCGGAAAGCCCATCACGCAGAACAGCAGCGATTTCTCTCAGGTTAATCTGCCACGCTGGAATGAAAAAGTACTTCACGAACAGCGACTTCACACACGGGACACTCGGCAGTCAAGGAGTGATTCAGACCACAGGACTCAGATCCGCAACACTCTACTCTCGAGCCAGAAGGCGGGTATCACACTGCAGGAACTAATGCGCAGGTGTAGCGGCGGTGAGCGAAAACGAAAACTCCCCAGTATTTTAACGAAACGGCTGCCTCTCGAAGGTACGCCGGCCTGGTTCACGCCCCTGCCAATGTCATACACGCCACACCCCTGCCTCCACGCCTCTGCTCACACCACCACTGCCTCCATGCCTCTACTCACCAAACCCCTGCCTATATACCCCTGTTCATGCCACACCACACCCCTGCCTCCATGCCTCTGCTCACACCACACCCCGCCTCTACACCCCTGTTCATGCCATACCAAGCCCCTGCGAATGTCACACCCCTGTTCACACCATGCCACACCCCTGCCTCCATGCCTCTACTCACCAAACCCGTCTATATACCCATGTTCATGCCACACCACACCCCTGCCTCCACACCTCTGCTGAGAACACACCCCTGCCTCCTCACCTCTTCCTATGTCAGACCCCCCTTCTCACATCATACCTCTGCCTCGTCACCCCTGCCCACGCCAGACTCCTGCCTCCACACCCTTGCCCATGTCAGACCCCTGCTCACATTACACCCCTGCCTCCTCACCACTGCTGAGACCACACCCCTGCCTCCTCACCCCTGCTCACGTCACACCTCTGCCTCCACACCCCTGCTCATACCACACCCCCATACCTTGCAGCCTGAACCTACGGCCGGCCACGTGAGCACTGCCCCCACCCATTTCTGTGGCTACTGTGTGTGTGTGTGTGTGTGGCCGTTGAACACATCCATTTCTCTCCCCACAGGAGGCTGCGATTCTGGGGTCTGGGTCCTATAATTTAGCCCCATCCTGGGACTTAGGACAGTGGTGGGAACACAGCAGAACCTCAGCAGGTGGCTTGACTCAGGCATCCCACTCCCATGCATAGTTCAAAGAATCATGTTGGACGTGACAAATGCACACGATTTTTATTTGTCAATGAAGAAATAAATTTTTTAAAAGGCTCAACCAATGTTGGCTTTAGTGAGCGGATGGATGTGATGCGATGGGTGAGAAGGGGTGAGGCTGGTGCAGGAACCCTGGGGGCCACAGTGCACACACCTGTGGCACAGACAGGTGTGTAATGCCTTGTTTTTGGTAAGTGAGTGAATAATGTCATGTAAAACAGCAGTGAAGACCTGGCTCTCCACGGATTGCAGACAGTTTCTCGTCTCTTCCCATGCGGGGTGCTGCCCGTCCCTGGGAAGGAAGTCCACAGGTGTGTGGAAGCAAGGCCAGCCAGCGGGTCACAGGAGGGCAGGCAAGCCCACCTCCTCATTTCGGCAGGAACTGACGCCCGCGTTAGCCGAAAGCCGATCCCTCTCCTGGCTGGGTCACAACAGCTCGCGTGTGGCACTTGGTCCGTGTCCCTGCTCTCTCCCCTGTGTCATCCTACCTGGTGTCACACCTCTGCTGGGAAGACAGGCCAGGTGGGCCCGGCCTGCCTCGCACCACCTGCCACCCATGTGGGGCCCAGGCTGCTGGACCCCAGACTCGGATTCATTACTATCGTCCTGCTTTTGCCAACCAGCGCCATCTATGCCAAGAACTGTGAAGCCAGCATGTGCCCTCCTCGGGAGCACCCGTGGGAAGCAGCGAGGGGGCCAGGAGCCTGTTTTGTGACGACAGGATGTGGCTGAGTGAGCAGGAAGGGTGTTTGTGCGGGGAAAGCCAGAGCAGTTGTTGAAGGGACCCGTGTTGCAGGGTCTCAGGGCGGCTGGAGGACGAGGTGGATCTGAAGCGCTGTTCTCTGATGAGCAATCCCGGGAAGGCACAGGCCACAGCACAAGTCGTGCAAGGAGCCTTAAACAAACCCGAACAACGACCGCGAATGGCTCACAATGTACAAGGAGAGAAATCTCCAGACACATGGGATGTTGAGAAAATGCTAACGTTTTCTAATCTTGAATTAAATAATTAAAAAAAAAAAAAAACCTTTTAAACGACAGTCAAGCAACCCAAATTTGCACTGAAGAGCGGCAGACGGCGGTTAAAGCACAGACAGCTGCATCTTCAGCCAGGCCAGGCGGCTTCCTTTAACCCTGCTCTGAATGGTTTTTCCACTTCCACTCACAAGGAAACCAGACATTAGTTAATCTGTGATATTTTAACCACGAATTTGTATTTTCTCGAAGAGTCTCAGTTACTCCAAGTTTACAGGCAGAATCCAACGTCAACCACAGAGCCCAGCAAAAGCTCGCTTTGGAGCTGAGAATCCGAACGCCACCGTGTGCGTGCGGGCACCCACGGGCCGGGAGGGGGCCGAGGGGTGAGGTCTCTACACCTCTGCGTGAGAGGCGACCGCTACCATCTCCACCATCTCCACCAGACCTAAAGGGCTCGGCGTTGCGCTGGAGCCACTGCCGTCTCCTGCCGCCCCGGTGCTGGGCTCCTCCAGCGAGTGTGCCGTGAGCTTACCTGAATTGGGTGAGATGTGTAAACTGCTCATGTCCTTGGACAGGCCGTTGGTTTTGGGGCTGGAGATGGGCGCGCAGGCCGACGTGGCGCGGGGCGGCCTCTTGCCGGGGACTTTCACAGTGGTTCTCAGAAGGTCGATCTCCTTGCCATGGACGTTCTGCATGTAATCCTGTTCAAAATGCCAAACACCCAAGAGAGATCAGACAGGGGACCCTGGACAGCCCGGGCCACCAGGAGGGGCCACCCACGCCCCTGCCCCACGAGGCCCTGGCGCCATCACTGCTGCATTTAGACTGGGGTTCTGCTTCTGCGTCCTGGGCTGACTCAGGGGCTGCAAACAGAGGAGCCATGGGAGACGCTCCTGGGTGGGGGATATTGTGCAAAGCATGCACAGAACACCGTGCTCTCTGAACTGGCTTCCGAGATGGCACACTGGGAACCCGGGCTGAGCCGGCAGATCCTAGGTGGCAGCCCCCGGAACAGGTGACCGCCTCCTCCCAACCTGTCTCAGCAGGGGCCGCCGTGAGACGTGCACGCACGGCCGACGCTGCCATCTGGGCATTCGGCCAGCGGAAGCTGGCTCTTCTATCAGGGCCCAGGAAGACGTCTGAGGTCAGCAAAGGGTGGTACTGAAAACATGGTGTGGGGCTGGCGCCGTGGCACAGCGGGGAAAGCCACCGCCTGCAGTGCCGGCATCCCATTTGGGCACTGGTTTGAGACCCAGCTGCTCTACTTCCGATCCAGCTCTCTGCTATGGCCTGGGAAAGCAGCAGAGGATGGCCCAAGTCCTTGGGCCCCTGTGCCCATGTGAGAGACACAGAAGAAGCTCCTGGCTCCTGGCTTCGGATCAGCCCAGCTCCAGCCATTGCGGCCATTTGGGGAGTGAACCTTTGGATGGAAGACCTCTCTCTCTCTCAAACTCTGCCTTTTAAGTAAGTAAATAAATCTTCTAAAAAGAAAATCTATGGTGCACATGGACGTATAGTCTGGATGTTACAAAGAAGGCGCATTCCCGTAAGCGTTACGCTTTCTCTAAGTGGTTCCCGGTACTCAGAGGAAGCACCTCCTCCTGCAGCCTCAGAGGTCAAGAGCACAGTCATGCAGGAGCCACAGGGAGGACAGTGTGGGTCCCGACAGCTCCCCGCAGGACACGGCTACCTGGCAGATGACAGGGGCAGAAAGGGTGAAAGGCAACCCCGAGCCCGGCGGAGGGCGCTGCTGACCAGTCACGAGTTACCGACTCGTTACACGTTGCTGTTGTTTTGGGCCTGCGCCTCCTTGTCTGTGGAATCCGTATTTTAAGCCCTCTGGACACATCTTAGTTAGTGTTGCACTTGACATACTCTAAATTGCCCTCGGATGATATATTTTGAGTGTTTTAAGACTAAAAAGGAAGTGGGAATAAATCTTTCTTTGACAGAATCTTGGTTTCTTCCCTTTGGATTCTAAGATCAGTAAATTCACATTTGTTTTAAGCTGCTGAGTTTAGGTCAATGTCCTTTTGGAAGGACCAACTGCAAGGGCCCCAGGCCGGCTGGAAAAGCGAGCAGTTTGCCCGGAACTGCCCACGGGCAGTTAGCATCATTGAGAGGGGCTGACGCTCCCGTCTGTAGGAGCAGGTCAGCTAGCCCAAGTGGGCCAGCAGGGGACACACAGAGTAGCCAGGGGGCCAAGAGAAGGACTGCAGGGACGGGCACTGACAAGGAGCCACTGCCTTATCTGCAGGCAGGATGTCTGATGGCAGGGCGAATGATGACGCGCTAGGAGCCCCCATCAGACTCCAGCGTGGGGCCAGATCCCCCTGATGGAAGGGGCCGCTCTCTGGTGGTCAGCACGAACCTGGGGTGTCACAGGCCTCACACCACAGCCCCTGGAACCAACAGGGCGGCCACCTGGGAGCCAAATCAGACAGAGGGTGCAGGAAGTCTCTGCAGAGGGACTCAGCATGGCAGGGGGCAGGGACGTGCAGATGGGATCCACAGGGCCCCAGGGGCTTCCCAGCGCCACCCCGCTAGCGGCAAAAGATGTGTCAGGGTCTCTAGTGACTTTCTGAAGGTAGACCTCAGGCGACCACTTCCTGGTAGGGAACGAAAGCTCAGAAAGTCAAGGTCAGAGCCAGGAGGAAGAGCAATGGTGGAAGACATGTGGAGAAAGGCTGGAGAGCTACATGGCAGGGGGGAGGGGCAAGGCCAGGTATCCTTCAGCCGGCACGAATGCACCTGCTGTCACCCAGGAGGCCCGCAGTGCAGGTGCCCAGCCTCCCCGGGTTGGCCCCCTGGCCCTTTCGTACCCCAGGTGTCTCAGGGAGGGACGCCCTCACGTCCACAGTGCGGGCTGGCTGTGGTCAGCCATGGCCACTTGAGAGGAGAGTCACTGCAGATTTGAGGAAGGGGAAGGCTGCATCCCGGCCGGGGACAGCAGATCTGACTCCACCTACCCGTGATGGGAGGCTCGATTTTAAAGATGGCGGCCACCCCAGAGTATCAGCAGCTAAGATACAAAGTGGTGGTTCTGGAAGGCGTGGACCAAAGATGGAGAGAAGGCGTTTATTATGAAAGCAGATGGAAAGATTGGGGGACTGGGGGACGGGCCCTCTCCCGGCAAAGCTCAGAGTTGGGCATGGTGAAAGGAATGCACGTTGGAGACGGACACGATCCTGGGCGGGGGCGGGTCACAGACAGCCAGCCTGTCCCCACGCGCCTCTAACCCACCGCCACCTGCCGTCAGCACCCGCCGGGAGGGCGCACCCAAGTTCCAGAAGCAAAGTGAACGCTCGCAAATAACGAATTTCTTCTTGCACAGTTACTCCTTTAAAAATATCAACTTGCTATAACTTTCTTCTTTAATGCCAATTCTCAACAAATTAAAATACAATAACAGGAGTGTAATTGAGCATTTATTGCTTATGGGCTCTAAAATGAGGCTAATCAGATAGTGAGCAGGCTCAGCATGGGCTCTTGCAATAGGCGCGTTTTAACATACAATAACCAGGATATTCTATCTAGAGTTATGACAGGAACGCACCACGCGCCTGCTCTTTGGGAGTGAACGCGGAGGGAACCCATTTATCTCAGCTCAGCATGGGCCGGGGGCTCTGTCTTCTTGCCTGTTGGGCGCCGAAACTTCAGAGAAAATAGAATACAAATGGGCACTTGCCGGATTTGAGCCACTAAGAATTCCTAGGACCCTACAAAACGCATTTCCTTCTCGGGACAGTCCTCTGGCCGGCCCTGGGGCTTCACAAACAGGCGGAAGGGAGAGCTGCACGGGTCTGCGGCTTGCGGCGTCCACCAAGGGAGGAGGCCGGCGCCGGGTCTGCGGGTTTTGGAAGAACTTTTCCTGCGCGTCTCTGGCTGGCTGCGAACTTAGAGCTCTGACCACTGAACACAATCCTCTCCTTAGAAGTGGGCTGTGCCGAGCCTTAAAAGGAAGACAGCAAGCCGGATTTTGATATGCAAATGTTCCAGATACTACCCCTTCTCCGTGTTAGTCCTAGAAAATGCTGATCACAGATAAAAGAGGAAAAAACCCTTTACCAAGGCATGAGGGTAATTCAAAGCCAAGCGCTTTTAAACAGCACTTAACAAGTCCCTGGGGCCTACTCAAGAGCCAAGCCCCCTGGAGGTGCCCAGTGCCTGCCCCTCAACAGCTTGAAAAAGTAGTAATTGCAAACCTATTTGCATTTTTCTTCTCAAGCTGTCCATGCTCGTCATGTGGATTATTTTTTCCAGGCAGGCGCAGGAGCAAAGGGACCCGCCGCCGAGCGCCCCGGCAGCTCCGTAACCGAGCCGCGCTGTCCCCCTGCAACCCTGCTCCCGCACCTTTGCCATTCCTTGTTTTTTACATTTCGCTCCTAATTATGTTGCATCTATTGCCGTACACTTAATTAGCTGCATTAATGTGATTTCTTTTCACATAGTCAAGCAATTAAGAGCTATGATTGAGTTTCATTCAATTAGCCTCAACAAACATGCTAATTGATGTCCCAGATGCAAATGAGGTGCAATGAGAGAAACCTGCTAGCAATTGAGCGCCGTGTCAGAGACCCAGCGCTTGCAGCTTGCTGACAGAAGCACAGCTTAACTGGCTCCCCCTTCTGTGGGGCTGCCTTAGGAGGAGGACTGGGCCGAGCCATTAGCGCCTCGCTGCAGATCGCTCCTGATACGGGGAATTAATTGATTCGCTGTTCTACAGTGATGTCCTACAATTTCACAGCTACTGTGTTCCCAGGACCGGGAGGTGAGCAGCCGGGCAGCGAGGACGGTGGTACCGAGTCCCCATCGGCCGACGGCATCAGGCTGCGCTCAGGAATGCCCCCTCCCCCCAACCACAAAGCCACCCCCGCCATCCGGGGCCTCCACGTGCACGACGGCCTTTATGGGCACTCAGCAAATGTTGAGTTCATCTCAGTCAGCTCAGGGGCATCTGGCACTCGGAGCCCAGCTCCAAATGCGGCCATCCATCAACAGTCCCTAAAAACACTCGCACTGCATCGATCCCCCCGCCCGCATCCGGAGGCTACCTTTGGCTGTTTTGGTGGAAGGCGGCTTGCTGATGCGTTCACAGGGATACCAAAAGCGGTTAACAAGATCTTGCAGCTAAAGAGTTATGCAGAAACTGTGACTGGCACCTCAGAGTCAGATCACAAGGAAAGCATAAAGGTCCAGGCACTGGCACTCCCCCGGCCGCCCGTCCCAGGCCGTGGCCAGCGGTCTCCTGTTCTACGTTCACCTTTCCAAGTCTCACGGGCCTTGACCTCCACGATTAAAGGATGGCAGAAACAACACAATTCTTTGCTCCGATTGGGTTTTTCCCAGTGAGTTCTGGCCTCTGACAGGACATTCGTGCCCACAAACCTAATGTTTCATACTAAACAACAACTAATACTTTGAGTGAGATGACTCTTCGTGCACACTGAAATCTGCTACGGTTCTCCCGAGCTGGCCAGACCATCTCCTCTTTCCGTAATCTAGTTCCGCCATCTTCAAAGCATGCTCCTTGTCGGGACAAAGCAGTTCTAACACCTTATCTGTCTTTTAATCGCCGTGATGGGGTTTGTTCTGATGGCGCAAAAGCCATGGTGGGCGAAAATGCCGGCACCTCAGTGTGAGTCAAGGTCATGGCTCCAAACCGTGCTGCTGGCGCTCGCCATATGAGCCATCACAACCT